ACCACCACGGACGGCGGTGCTCCGGCCAGAATCGAGCTGTGAAAATGGATGGGTTTTCTTCGTCTCGCTGCACTGAGTCCATAGGGACTGAAATCATCTCAATCGGAGGTCGGATGACGGAGATATCACGACGGGAAGAAATTGGTATTTTCGGAACTTCCGCCGGCGTTGCGACTGATTCCGGCGGAGTTAGAGGTCGTGCCGTATGTCGTTGAACTCAGCTCGTCGAGATCTTTCTATTGACACCGGCGGTGTCAAAAACGGAGGTCGGAATCTCAACTTAAGTATTTGGCCATTGATAGTTTGTGTGAGAGAACGTGAGAGGAGAGAGAGAATGAGTAGGAATAAGAGAAAGAAAGTGCAAGAACCCTAAAATTTTCACTATATAGAGCATCTGATTAAGGCAAGATTACGTGTCTGATCTTATCCTCAATTATTTCTTCTAAACAGATTAAATTTATACTTATTAGAGGTAATTAGTTTAGCTCACGTAAGTTAATCTACTACTTACAGTCCAATATTAATTTATGAATAATTCAATATTGTTTTATATTCTTACTCGCGTAATATTTCAACCTGTTTCAAGTCTTGAGATTAATTTTAGACTGAATAAATTCTAAATTTTACTTTTCTGCATTCTATCCCGGGAATGACGTTGTTTCTGACAGTGTCAACTCCCGAGCTCACATTGTACCCATATACTATAGGTATTTATCTTGTGACTTTAACCTAACTGTCTAACAATTAAAGATTTTTTTCTTCTTTTAAAATGTCAGTGCGTTTTTTTATACGCCGCTAACATCGTGCTGTGCTTGGAGATTCTTGAAATTAAGATTCTCAAACTATACTTGTACTGAAAATTATTCTGCCTTAAAATACGGCGAGAATTTATCGATCGAATTTACTTGATCGAAACATGAACTTAACATGAAATTTGCTATAGAATTTAGGAATACATATATTAATTCCATAAATCCTCCATTCACAATATAACATAATATTTTCTAAGAAAATCCTTGCCTTAAAAATACATGAATTGTATTATTTAAGGTCTGAAATTTTCTCAGTCATTACACAAGCACACACGTTCACTTCCAACGTATTTTCTCATTATTTTCTCTATATTTTCAGTATTGGCTCGTTATATATATGTATATGATTTCTTATCATGCAAGAAATTTGAGTAATTGACATCCAAAGCAGTAGTTACGTTGAAAACAAATTCGGAAAGAGGGAGACAGAGAGCATGTGTTTTTTTGGGATTACCACAACAGTGACAAGAATGTTATTATAATAATAAAGAAAACGCCAATAATAAAACAAGGAAACTTTTAATAAAAGAAGGATAGAAAGAACAAACATTGTTTATTGTTTTATTCCGTAGTTTCTTTCTTCCTCTCTTTTTCTCGTATGTGTCCAGCTTTCATTGTAATGCCTATCTATAGGCATTCTTACGTACAGTTAGCTCATGTAATTTCGACGAAGCTCCTTTAAAATTTGGCGAAAAATGAGAAAGTATTCGGCAAATCAAATATTGGTATGAAGATCTTCTATCTCTTCACCTACAAGTTTCTTAACAATTTGAGATTAAATCAAATACTTGTCCCTTCTTGCTAGATCAAATAGTTGTCTTGCCGTGACATAGGGCCAATTTAGTCGTGCTTGTAGATTTTAGAAAAATTATTGTTAATTATATTAAAAAAAGAAAACAGTTGTTATAAAAAATAGTTTAGTATTTGGTAAACTGTAATTATACAAGTATTGATTCCAGGAGTATTATGTATATTATAAAAGTTTTATTAATTGTATTTCAAGGTGATTGTCGCATAATCTAAAAGTCAAAATTGTCTTTAAGCTGCTTCTGATTTTGATTATAAATTCTTTAAAACAAAATTTAAGAATCGTTTTTTATAGTTTTTACCAAACACAAATTTCAACTGTAGATAGTTAGATAATTAATTTTAGACTCCAAAAATCACTACTAAACATATTTATAATCCTCGGATCTTCCCTCGGGCAACGCGTCAAATATATGTCCTGCAGTTTTCAAAATCCACTAACCAATCTAGTTCAAGTTAATAGAGCCATCAAGTTTTAAAGCCGTCTAGCAACTATCAAGAACTGCTAAAAGGCTGCAAAAGATTGAAACTTAAGAGGAATCTAGAGAATTCTTGCACCAGGGGATTGTCACTGCTTCCCAAAAAAAAAATTGACCTATGAAAGTTGTGGACTTTTCCAAGTTTTTCAACGGAGAATATGGTAAATAATAGATTTATGAAACTAAATTAAGTAAATAACATATTTTAAAATTATTTAAAGTAAAAAATAATTACATGATAAATGAATCATTTACTGTGTAAATAAAGATTTTTTTTAAGATTTTTTTACCACGTAAGTTATTTTTTATTAATCGTAAATAAATTATTTATCTCAAATAATTTTAAAATCTACTATTTACTTCATTTAGTTTCAAAAATCTATTATTTACTACAATTTTTTTTTTTCGAATGAGAGAACTACAGGGATGCTTCTTGAAACTAATCTATTATTTACTACAATTTTTCTTTTTCGAATGAGAGAACTACAGGGATGCTTCTCTGGTGATTTACACTCCTCTTTAAAACATCCCCATTTGCCCTTTTACTTTCTATATTAAGTATAATACCCTAGGAATTTAAGTTCTCATGTCATCAATAATTAGAGTTGCCTAGACCGATCAGCATAATCTTCTGACTACCTATCGGCATTGGCACCGAGCGCCAAAGTCATCCACTAGATGGTCACAACTCATGGTTGGTGCTTGTCTCCAGTGTCAATCACTAGATGACCAACGGTCATCCACCAAAGTCGGTCTCCATATAACCCAAAATTACCTATTTTCCTCTTTTTTGTTCAAATTAAAGTCAAAATGTTAATAAAAATATTTGGGTAAGAAAGTAATTACAAAATAATAATGTTTTCTTCTCTTTAAAAACACTTCCAATGCCATACGAAAGAAGATAAATTCATTTTCTTTCTTTTTATCCCATCACACTAAACAGCTAAAGGGAAAACCAAAATCGTTTCTATCCTTTCGATTTTCTGTTGCTTATAGTTTTCCTTTGCATCACATATTCTTTCCTTCTTACCAAACGGAGTGTTAGAGCAAGTTCACGAGATTGAAAGCGGGCGAGCCTAAAGGAAAGCCAAGGCACGTAGGAGTTGGCTGTGGTTGAGTGAAAAGTCAATTCTATTTCGTAAACTATGCTTCGAAATTAACAAATTTCTACTTCATTCTGCTAGTTTGTTCAACACCCGTGTTTTTTTTTTTTCCTTTTTTTTCCATTTTGAATTTTCATCATGTTGAAAAACCATATCCCCGTGTCCTTTTTATTTATGATTGTTTACTTATATTTTATTATTCAAAGTTTTCTAATAAAACAGTTCAATAATCCGTTTAACTTGCGTGTGTAACTTTTCAATTATTTTGGGTACGTCTACAATTATGTATAAAACGAAAAGTAAACAATGATGAGATATTCCTCTGTCTCCGTAGTCTATTTCCGTAAAAGTTAAACCACTATGCATGAGTAAATAAATTGAAAGCAAATGAAGTTTATATATATATATAGTTTTTAATAGTTACGTTTTCATCAGCGGTTATTACGAAATATAGAAATCTAATGACGTTGCTTGATGAGAATCTAGTTCTATAGTCTAAACATGGATTTTTGTTCTTCACTTTATCACATATTACTTTTTGAATAATAATAAAAAATAAAATCTCTATCTATATGAATCTCAAAGTTCCTATAGTAATTACATGGACTATTATCTCAGCAAACCTGAGTCCGAATTTGCAACTCGGACAACAAGAGGGCTAACAACCCTTGATCTTCTACTCCTCCATGACAAAAACCCGAATGCATAGCCCTTTGTTGGAGCAGCCACCTTGAAAGTCACAGTGAACTTCATTTTCTGCTCGAAGCTGGTAAAGACTAATCGATCTGGCACAACGGTGACATTGATTCCTCTAGGCAAAGACACTCTGGCTCTGTAGACACTCTTTGGCTTCCCAACGTTTGTCACAGTTCGGGTTACAGACATTTCGTCTTTAAGATTTGGAACTGTTATAGATGGATAGTTTAGGTCAGACGCTGTTACCAGTGAGTGATGATCACATGTTGTGTTGTATCCTGTTATCTGCTGCAGAGACTTTTCATCATAACCAATTGAACATAGAAATCCTATGTAATCGGATGGGTGTGCATCGTAGACCAAACCCGGATCAAGGACTTTTGTTGGGTTCATGAAGCCTGAGCCATAGTCAAATGCATTACCCCTTTTGCCATCAGGATCCACCAGGATGGGACTGCGCTTTTTATCCAAAGCACTAGCTGTACAACGATGCATTCATGCCAATTTCTTCAGTGTATGAATAGAATTGTAAATTTGAAGAATGAAGAGCAGCTGATTCTTTTATTATTATTTTTACTTTCTTGTTAATCGTGCGGATATAAACTGTTTATTAAATGCTTCAATGAAGCTTGAGAAAGAAAGCAGATAATCTTTGACATTTGAAGAGGAGAAAATAAAATTTGGTCTAGTTCAAAACCATATTTCAAAGAGTGTTATGTGTAATCTTACCAGTTGTCATGATTGCAGATTTGATAGCAGATGGAGACCACGATGGATGGACTGCTTTGACCAAAGTCGCGATTCCAGTTACATGCGGGCAAGCCATGGAAGTGCCCGAAAGAATGTTAAACTCCAGTCTTCCTGCTGCAGGAGACCAAGCTGCGAGTATGTTCAATCCAGGAGCTGTGACATCAGGCTACAAAGTAGAATAACCAAAATGAAACTATTAGTACAAAGGTCTATCAAAGGGTTGCTAACAATTTTTCTTCTCTTAGAAAAATTTACCTTCAAAATTTCTGGTGTCAAGGCATTGGGACCTTTAGACGAGAATGCTGCCACACGAGGTGCCGGTTGAGATCCCAATACAGTCTTTGCGGGCATAATCCTAGACAGTGGTGTTCTGTACACAATTGGAAAAGCAAAATCAGATATGAAAACTTGGAGAAACTGCATTGTAGATCCAAATTACGAATATAAACCAACCGTGTGCGATTAATATAAGATAGTATGTGAGCCCCTGTCCTCCTTCCAACAATAGCTGAAGGAATCGTGAAGGGAATGGCAATGTTCTTGTCTTCTTCATCAATAAGAATCATCCCAACACCGCCGGCTTCTTTAACTACAATGCTCTTTTCCAGTTTAGACTCCATTGAACTCTCAGCATGTCGACAAACCAGAACCTTCCCTCTGGCCTTGGTGCTATTCAAGGAACTCTCTAAGCAGTAACTGTAGGAGCAAAGTAGAAGAAAGAAACAAAAAGGGGGGAGAAAAAGTAGCTTGTAAGGTTTCCCTTTGTATTGATATGTCAAATTGCACTCAGCTTTCAAGTACCTTTGCTTCACCTGGATTGATAAGGAGTGAAATATCCTGCATTCACTTCAGATGCAGAAATGATGCTTGTTGGGTCTTTCATTCCCACAAGGCTCAGACTTTCACCCTGAGATCAACCATTGACAACAAGTAAGGCTTACAAATAACAATGTTTCTTGAAAAATTCAAAATATTACCGCTAGCAACGCCACTGATTTTCTAACCAATCAAATTTGATAGTAAAATTGTGTCAATCCCAAAACTGACATGTTACATCCGTCATTGCTTAAATGAATAATGACAGTTAATATTGCTCAGTTTAATTAGGAATCTCTCCAAGAAAAATGTCTAGAGAATAAACCTATTCCTAAAGTAAAAGTGTTTTACTTTTGGTAACCAAAATTACATGTGGAATACTAAATGCGAATTATGTGACTCCCTGCAACGTTGATCGAAGTTAAAACCGAAAAACATGACTAAGACATTAGTATTACCGTCAAATTACGACCATTTTCCAGTATGATATCGGAAGTGAAATCCCTGTCCGTCGAACTAGCAGCAACAGTGAGCATCCAAGGGGCTAAATTTGTTGCGGAAGCTGGCCACCCTTGATTTCCAGCAGAAGCAACCACCAAAATTCCGTGGCTAGCAGCATGGAATGACCCCACAGAGATGGCATCACTGAAATAGTCTCCTTGGGGAGCATCTGGTCCCAGAGATAAAGACAGGATGTTAACCCCATCTCTGATTGCATCATCGAAGGCAGCTAGCAAGTCCACGTCATAGCATCCCGAGTCCCAACATGTCTTGTACATGGCAATCCTCGCCATTGGAGCACCACCTCTAGCTCCCCCAGCAGCCAACCCCTTGTAGTTCATGTTGGCCACATAACGCCCCGCAGCTATCGAGGATGTGTGGCTGCCATGGCCAGTGCTGTCCCTTGCTGATCTGAATGATACTATGTCTGTGTTTCCTAAATCTTCTTCCTCTGATCTGTATCCACTCATATAGTATCTGGCTCCAATCAGTTTCCTATCACATAATTTACCACCAATAAAAATCTGCTGATAAATAATTATTGTAAGGATAGGCGAAAAAATAGAAAATAGAAATGTAATAAGTGTGACTAAAAGGAAAACCTGTTGCATGTTGAAGAATTGAATGCTTCTCCTGGTTGGCACCGCCCTTTCCAACTAGCTGGCACGGGAGGCATGCCCACATCACTAAAACTTGGAGATTCAGGCCAAATTCCTGTTTTAGATTAAAAAAAAAAAAAATACTCAAACCAAGGGAAATTATTTATTAAAAAGAAAAGAAAGAAACCCCATATCCAATAATTTGTTTGCCATGTTTGGGGAAATATTAAAAACGATAAGCCTATTATTATTAGGACTCCCTATACCTATACCTATTAGATGAAATAACATTGTTCTTAAGTGGTCCTCCATCAAAAAGGAATAAATGAACTGATCAGAGAATAATAAGCAAATGATCTTGAATCTGAGTAGTTAGCAAAGAATTTTCTAATAGGGACAAATAAAGAAAAAAAAGTGTTACTTCTGACACTGCTGTCTTCCAATAATAAATGCACACCAAATCACACATTCATGCAAATTGAAAACATGGGGACTCCTAATATACTATATTAGAGGAGAGAGAAAATCTCATCAAAGAGAGGAAAAAAATTGAGTAAGCCATTTTTTCATACAAGTAAACAACGGTTCGGAAAAGACTCTTCTTTCTTGCCTGTGTCAATGAAACCAACGACGATATTGACTTGGTTCTTTGTGTCGTATCCCAAAACCTCCATTGTATCATCATCCAAAAGCCCCATGAAATCCCACGAATGAGTAGTGTGTAAAACTCTCTTGCAATTGGGAAACACCGACACCACCCCTGGCATTTCTGTCAAAACCCCATTTCCCATTTTCATCAACAAAAATTCCATGATAATTTAATTACTAAAAAAAAATAACTTACTCGAGATTTGGGAAACTTGGTCGTCGGTCAACCTGGCTGCGAAGCCTCGAAAACCGTGTCTGTAACTGTAAACATGCGACGCCTGTGCCTGCTCAACACTGTTCATACAAAATCAGAAGTTAACATTAGCTGCCAAAATAAATCACAACAAAAAATGTTGAAAATTTTGTACTATGTTTATGTTAATAAACTGACCTTCCTCCATGAACAGAAGCAAGAATCTGATGGTTATTCCTCATAATCTCATCCGGGTCTTCGCCAGTTTTGCTTCCCATGTAAACCACATAAACCTGAAATCCAACCCAAAACAGAGAAACTTTAAAACCCCATTAAAATTAGGCCAAATAGTTCGTATATAGCTTGTGATGTTACCTTAGAACCGAGACAAATTCCAATTTGCGACCAAACCAGAACGCAAAGCAGGAATGGGTAACTAAAAGAAGCCATTGATAGCAAGAACCAGAGAAGAATGTGAAGAAAGAAGCTTTGGGTTTGTTAATAATGAAAGAATGGGGAAAAAGAAAAACAACTATGGATATGAAGACAAAGATTTCACAGTGGCCGCTTTAGTACTGTCCTGTATCTGAAAATGCCCTCTCTCTTTATTTTCACAAAATACAAGGCAAACCACGACGGGGGGAAAACAAAAAAAAAAACAAAAAAAAGGAAAGAGACAAAAGAAAAGGACTGAGTGAGATTATAACGTTTGAGTCAGCAAGTTTTTTGCCATTGTTGAAGTGGAGGGCAAAAGATTAACTTTGTCAGGAGACCGATTTTCTTTTGGACCTCACAATTATGATGAACTCATTGGAATATAAGAAAAGGAAATGGAAGGGATTTTTTTTTTTTTCCCTTTCCTCTGTCTTTTTATTTATGTTGCCTCAGTGACATTGAATGAATGCGTAGAAGCAAAAGGTCGATGAATGATGAGGCATAAATTGGGAATATTATATTAAATCTGGCCAATTACTCCCATAGAAGTTGACATTTGTATCAATGTACTTGGTAGCAAAAAAAAAAAAAAAAAAAAAAAAAAAAAAAAAAAAAAAAAAAAAATTAAGAAATAAAATTTTGTCTTGTTTTGCTTTACCTTGTGATTGTGATGACCGACCCGTGACAAATGGGGTATGGAGTAAATTGAAAGGAATTAAAGGCTAGCTGGACGGATAGAAGCCGATACGTTTATCAATTTCTTTTAATGGAAGTTGTTTATGACATCCTGTATTTATAAAACTTAGGCCTTGTTCATTTCACCGATTTAAGTTTTCAGTTTTAAATTTTTACAATAAAAAGCTCTCATAAAATATCACATCTAACTTTTTCTGCTACAGTAAATAGCTCTAAAAAAATATCACATCTCAACTCAAATTAAAAACTCAAATCCACAAAGTGAACGAGGCCTTAGATTCACTTACTTTCTCATAAAATATCACATCTAACTTTTTCTGCTACAGTAAATAGCTTTCAGAAAATATCACATCTCAACTCGAATTAAAAACTCAAATCCACAAAGTGAACGAGGCCTTAGATTCACTTACTTATATATCTCCCATTTAATAATTTACCAAAACAATTTTGTGTCACTTGTTGGCATTTGGGTCCTACTTTTGTCCCTATTTCCTTGGGCCCTTTTTTTCTCCAAAAAGAAGAAAAAAGTTGTTTTCCTCAAATCGATGTGTCATTACAAGATTCACAACTAGGATGTAAGTTCTTTTTATTGGCTTTTTTTTTTTTTTTCCTTAGGCACTCGCTATTATAAGACAATTTGTATAATCATTGCATTTTCACTGTTAAATTATTGTATTATTTTCTTATCAATTATGATTTAATGTGATTTGACATTAAAAATGTGTACTATTGACACGATGGTTTTTTACATCCTAATTGTGAATTTGATTCTCTTAAGACGTAATTTTGGGAGCCCATTACGTTAAAAAAGAAGAAAAAAAAAATCTGGCTTAGAAGCATGTTCACTTGGGGCTTGGACAACATTTGCATTACAGATACCATTCTCACGTCAGAGTTACGTGACATATTTAAACAACATTAATAATGTTGCAAGCAAGGGTGATTGGTTGCCGTTCAAGCACCAAAAAATGTGTGATTGGTTTGCTTATAAGTTGGAAATTGGAATAATGTGACTTGTAGCTAATTGTGACGTTGAGGAATGGAAAGCGGAAGAACCGTTGATGAGAGAGAGAGAGAGAGGGGAGAGAGAGAGATATATACGGAAAGTCGACTTGGATACTTAGCTTTTGGAGCAAACCAACCAATTAACCGCCTATTGCTTGCTGTCTATCCTTTTCCACTTTCCCTTATTTTATTATCCTTTTTTAGGGCCTTTTTTTTATATATATTTAACCTAAAAGGTTTGTACCTTAAGTATAGGTGACCGTTAAAAATCATTACTTTAATTTTAGACCTCATGAACTGAGTCGAATTATTACCAGTTTACATGGAACAGATAAAAAAGATGAAGGAAATGGAAAAGTAAAATTGTCTTAGTGGCAGACAGCAAGTGGAGGTGGAGCATCCCATCATCAGCTTTTTTTAGGCTTAAAAACCAACTTTTATACTGCGGTTTTTTTTTTTTTTTTTTTTTTTTTTTTTTTTTTTTTTTTTTTTCTGTAGTTTGCACGCCGATTCTTTTTCTGTTCTTAAATTGTTTGTGTTTCGATAAAAAATAATAGATAAAGCGTATTGCGTCCTCAAACTTCTACTCCCGTGCATTAATTTTCTCTAATAAAATTTTAATTAAGCTCCTGTTTATTTTACCGATTTAAGTTTAAAATTTAAATTTTATTGTAATAAAAAACTCTTAAAAACAGTTATATTTAACTTTTTTATTACAGTAAAAAATTCACATAAAATTACATTTTAACTCGAATCAGTAAATTAAGATGTGCATCAATTCTCCTTAAAATTAAATACACATTTGAGCCATAAAAAAAAATGTATCTATTAAGTCATATCACTTGTTTGATCATCCATTTGATCTAATTCGATAAAATTCAAATTCTATAAAAAAAAAAATACTTTTTATTATTGTTGTCGAAAGAAATGTTGGATTTTATATTATGATCGATCAAACGAGGAATAAGATTTGGTTGGAATAACTTCAAAATGTAGTTATTGAGAAGTAGAAATTTTTCCTTTCAAGGCACAACGATAGCTATCTTAGCACCCAAAAAAAAAAAAAGAAAGAAAAGAAAAAGTTCTAGCAACAAACAAACAAACAAAGAAAAAAATATTGATGGTAGTGAAATCCGACTAGAAAAAGTAAAAAAGTTAAAAAGAAAATAAAGCTCCGCAAAGTTCCCTTTCGCTTGGGGTTCGTCTCAAAATAATATTTTAGGTTTAAAAAATTATCTAATCTAGTTGGATAACTCATAAATATGATTGTTTTTAAAAAAATTTTACTGTAGTTATTTCTGAAAGTTTTTTACTGTAATAAAACTCAAATTAGTAAAATGAACAGAATCGTAATCTAATTTGATATAAGTTAAATATCCAACTTATATTCAGGGGGAGAGAAGTGGGGGCCAGGGCATATGCCCTCCTGAATTTTTTAGAATGTTGTTTTAGGCCATTGGTGTTTTATTTTTTATTTTAAATGCGCATATAATTTTTTAAATTTTTCATATTTGTCCCCTCTTAATTACTCAAAGTTTAAATACGTCTCTACTAAATCTAATTTCATGTAATGTTTATCATATCAAAAGTGATCTCAAACAAGAAAACTATTATTAAATGACTCATTAATATAATTATCCTCACATGTATCCCTATCCACACAACCCTCTTAATAATTTTTATCTCATAAATACATCTTCTCTAGTGTGCGCTTATTGAAGTAATATTTATTTTAAATGTGTCCCTGCTTAATCATTCTTTTTATTCTAGCACTATCAACTATTAGATCTTCATATGTATTTATCACTCAAATACGTTCTGTCTATACATGTATAATATTTGACATAAATATATTGTGATTAAAAACGTTCATTTCATCCATTTTACTAAATGTTTTTCTTATGAACTAAAGGTATGAGAAAGATGACTTAAAAAAGTAAACTCTTCTTAAAATTTTATATTTAAGCAAGAAATTCAATAAACTAATATGTATGTGCGTAACACAGGCTTCCATTTATTAATAGTATTAGGAGCTGCTTATATTGAATTATATGGATTTTAAAATGAAAAGCACAATATTTAACATTAATCCATATGACTTTTATTTAATAAAAGTTAATGAAAGAATGATAATGCACATGCCAGGTTGGTATTAAAAAACTTCACATATTTAGTTTTTTTTTTTAAATTACACCAATCAGTTGAATTGAGATTCTTAATAATATTTGTTTTAATTAGACAATCGACCGAGCTAAATTAATCTAATATATATAAATACGTTCTTTGTAATATATTTTTAGTATCTTAGTTATAAAAAGTTGAATATGTTTTTTTTTAATTTTTAATCGCGTTTAAAATGGTAGTTGTTTTGGTTGAATATGCATGTTTAAAATTTCTGATTTTATTGATCAACCCTAACATAAGATACTCAATGCTTGTTTAGTTCGCTAATTTAAATTTTTAATTTGAGTTGAGATGTGACTTTATGTAAGAACTTTTTATTATAACAAAAAAATTAAATGCATCTGTTTCTAAAAACCTTTTACTGTAATAAAACTTAAATTTTAAACTCAAATAAATAAAATAAACGGAGTCTCAGCTGCCATCATCTCTAGAAAGGGCATAACGTGACAAGGACGGAGGCCCACTGTTAGGGCTGGGAGCCCAACTTGAGCCGGCTCATGAAATCCAGAGAGATATATTTAAAAAAAAAAAAAATTGCATACACTTTTCAAGGAAAAAATCGACGTTCAATCCAATTCCGCCCGAATACAATTCTATAGGGCCCGTTCACTTCGCTGATTCAAGTTTGTAATTCGAGTTGAGATGTGATTTTGTGTGAGAGCTTTTTACTGTAGTAAAAAAGTTAGATGTGACTGTTTCTGAGAGCTTTTTACTGTAGTAAAATTCGAATTCTAAACTCGAATCGACGAAATGAACGGGGCCATATTGTATCGGACTGAGTCTAAATTTAACTGGAAACAGTTTTAAATAAAATCCCATTCTTGTTAAATTGATTAGAAACTTTACCCAACTAATTTCATAATTAGACTGAACTCTCAAACTACTTGTAGTTTGCCACACGCCATAATAACTGGACCTGCAGGCAAAACTAACTTTTCTAGAAAAGATGCAACACTTTTCGGTGGAAAAAAAAAAAATAACTTAGCAACAAAAAAAAACCCTTAGCGCTTGGCCTTCTGTGTAACGTGGCAGTGACAGGTAATTAATTGTAATGATTAGAATAATGATAATTATACAAAGATGATGATATGAAGAGCTGAAGATGATTCCCTAATGATACTCAAAACAAAAGCAGCGGCAATAGATTGTGGTTTCCGCGGCTGACAATCATTACATATAATTCTGAGCAATTAAGTATAAGAAAATACCTTCAAGGCATCCAATATTGCAATCGGGGGACCCATCATTTGATGAGATGCACTGACAACTAAGGTATACAATCATGTTTTTCTTATACAGACTTTTTAAACAAAATCTACTTAGGATGATTATGTAATCTTAGTTATAATAGTATTATACTTAGTTTTATTTTAGCATGTAACCGTTAGAGAATGTAATATAATGAGACGTTTAATTTATGAGTTTAAAATCGTGATTTATAATTTAGATTTTTAAAATTAAATTTTTTATGAAAAAAAAACATTATAGAGATTCAAAAATTATGATTCAAAACTAAAAACAAACCCTTAAAATAAGCATCTCATTAATCTTTTTTTCATCATGGGATCAAAATATAGTTTTTAAAAACATAATGGATAAAAATATATAAACGTGGAAAAATTTCAAACAAGGAAAGTTTTATACGGAAAATTCATATTTCGTAACAGATTAACCAAAAAATTCAAATGATTTAAAACAAAAAAAATGTAACTAAAAGTTTTGTTACAAAGAAAGTGCTCAATATGCTTAAAAAATAGTTACGTGTTTTCACATAAAATGTACTTTTCGAGCAAACAAAAGAAATAATTTAAGGACAATTGTAAAGAAGAAAAAAAAAGAGCATGATTTTCAAGAGAAAATATGACCTGATTTTACAGAAATATTTGTTGGGAAAACCACTATTAACAATTGCGGAATAAAACTCTCTCTCTTTATATACTAAAATAAGATCTCAAATAAAATATAAACAAAACCAATCAATAAACATTAACATCTAATCAAATCAACTAAGCACAAATAAAAGACTAATTTTTAATGCGAAAAACCCTTCAAAACCAAAATAAAAATCACGAGACCCTTATGCTACTTAAAAACTTTCACTATATCAATAATAAAATTATAAAGTTTCTCACTAGATACAAATTAGAGTCTCACAACAATAATATCATTAAGAAATACTATTCTTAGCTCACCAACAAAATAAATATCATCATCAAAGATGAATAATAAACACGAAAAAAAGGTTTAAATCTCACTAAAATGGGAGTACTCAAGAGAGTACCATTGAGAGGCTACAAGCTTCAGGTTTCTACATGCTCACCAAAATAGATAACAACTATTCTTTCTCTCTCTTCTTTTTCTTCTTTCTCTGGTTGCTGATTGCTTCCCACGAACAGCCCCTTCCTTTAATTTCCTTGGCTGCGTGCACCAATGGCACGGAACACTAATGGGCTTTGCCCCTTCCTTTTTCTTTTCTATTAACACTAATGGGCTTTGGCCCATTTATTTTTTCCAGCCCACAAATGGGGCCAGAACCCAACAAACTCCTCCACATCATTTAGTGGGTACAACTACGCCCGCTCTCTGTCTACAAGCTTCAAGTTTCTCTTTAAGCAAAGTCTTCGTCAACATATCTGATCCATTCTCACTAGTGTGGATTTTCCCTAAGTGCAATTGCTTTGCTTCAAGCACATTACGAATCTAATGATATCTGACATCAATATGCTTAGATCTTGAATGGAATGTTCAATTCTGAAAGAGGTGGATGGCGCTCTGACTATCGCTGTAAACAATGCATTTCTCTTGTTACATGCCGAATTCTTCAAGAAACCTCTTCATCCGCGATGCTTCCTTGCAATCTTCAGTAATTGCAATGCACTCAGCTTCCGTGGTGGATAAAGCGAGACACTTTTACAACTTAGACTACTCCCCCTGCAAAAGTCATCATGAATCCCGAAAGGTTCAATGTCACTTGCCATATTTGAATTTGTGTACCCATCTAGAATGATATAATATATTATATAATTATGATATAGAATATAGGTAAAGTCTCCAATCCGGTACCGGATTAAAGCGGTACTGTATATTTCTTTTAAAAATATGTATATTTCTTCTGCGACACATGTATATTTCCTCTAAAAACACACACACACACACATATATATATAGGTGTTTAGATAAATTATAGGTGTCTCCCCACATTATACATATTTTAAGAAGAAATATATGTGTTTTTTAAAAAAATATACATGTGTTGCTCCAATCCGGCACTAGATTGGAGACAATTTCCTAGAATATAATCATATTATTAAAATAATAATTAAAAATTTTGATTATATTATATTATATTATATTATATTATATTAAACAAATATATTATAATTAATATATTATATAATCATACATTATAATAGATAATAATATTAGAATTATAAAATTATATTAATATATAATTAAATTAATTATTATTATATTATTAATATAATAAATATAATTATATCAATACAATATTATTATAAAATAATAATTATAATATCATATTATAATTATATTATAATTATAATATCATATTATTAAAATAATTATAATATTATTATAATATCATATTATATGATAACAATTTAAAAGTTAAAGCTATTTTTGGATTGTTTCTTATTTTGACTGTAAATTTTTTAAAAATTCTTTAAAAAACACTTTTAAAAAAATTTATCAAATACTAAAATAAATTTTTACTAGAAGTTGATTTAGAGAACGAAAAGCAATACCATTATGCTTTGCTTCGTGAGATATTAATTCGCCTTTTTCATTTTTTTTTTTGGCTTTTGTCTTAAAACTTTTATATGGCTTTAACTTTTAAATGTGTCTCATTTAAATACTTTTCCTCACGATTTGTCACTAATAATATAAAATTTCTCAAATACGTCTCCCAACTTACTGTTCTGGTCAAAGCTCTCTTTTTTAGTTTTTGGCCCATCTTTAGAGGAACACCAATTGCATTGTGATTTCAACTGCACTAAATAAACTAAAGAATAAATTAACTAACGCAATGCCAATGAAAAACAGATAAAAAGGAAAGAAAAAAGGTTATTTTGTATGAAAACCCCGAACTTTTTTAATTTGATAATTTAGTCCCTAAATTTTTTTTCCTGACAATCAACCCCCCAATCTTTTAATTTTTTGCACTCTTAGTCCTTGTTGCTCAAATTCGTTAAAATTTTGATGGTTTTTCGTGTGAAACTTACAAGTGACTACCTAAGAAGCGCATTGATGATATTTTTGTTTGGTATAAATAAAATTTCATGTTAAAATTTAAATTAAAGTTTAAGTTATAATTAAATTAAGTTTAAGTTTTTCTTGAAACTAAATAAAAATGATCATCAATGCCCTTATAAGGCTATCATTTGCAAGTTAGGTGCAAAAAACTGTCAAAATTTTAATAAATTTGAACAACAAGAGTTGAAAGTGTCAAAAATTATAAGTTCAAAGTGTTGATTACAAAAAAAAAAAAAAAGTTTAGGGATTAAATTGTCAAATTAAAAAAGGTCAGGAGTATTCGTACAAAATAGGCCCAAAAAAAAAAACTAAGAAGCTTTTATTCGTATTGAAAGATTTGTCTTCTCAAAATATTTTTTCGCAGCAAAACTTCATTGTTTTTGATCTGTTGCATTTTGTAGCAGTTGCAGAATGAGTCTACTTTCTTGGGCGGAATCATAAATAATAAATCATATGAACTCATTTGATTAATGCAAGATAAAGGCTAAATCTTCCTTCTTATGAACTGTAAGTCAGTGGCTGAAGTTTTGTTAAAACTTATTTGTTGTTTCTCTATTTGAAGGGAAAAAAACTGTTTTTTTTTTCTTTTTTGTTTGTTTGTTTGTTTTGTTTTGTTCTGTCTTTGATGTATAAGTGATCACTAGAAAAAAACTGTTTTTTTTTTCTTTTTTGTTTGTTTGTTTTGTTTTGTTCTGTCTTTGATGTATAAGTGATCACTAGTTTAACATTCTTATTGACTGAATCTTTTTCAAATGGTTCTATTCCGTTTTATTTTTCCCTTACCTATAAGCAATTAATACTAAAATCGTTCGTTCCTACTTGCGAACTTTTTACGATGTTTTTGTCCTCTGCAAAGAAATTATTTACATGAATAGAAAATATTAAAATCAAAGAAAAAAGAGAAATAACATGCTATAGTATCTTAATGATTTCTCTCCAATGGATCACCTAATATTTTCAGAATGCATCTAAAAGCGTATAAATGATATATTCATTAATGGATTCTACATACAAAAAGCGATTAAGACTAACAACAAATTCGAAGCATAAACATTAATGGATCCTATTCCTTTTTTAGTACATGTATGTGAAATATTTACAGTGCTTTTTCGGTTAGAGCATGTGATCCAAAGTTCAGTAAAACATTAGAACTGTAACTTCATTTTTTATCCAATATTTCTGCACTTCATAAACTAATGCCATTATGACCATAAAATGCCCAAGAAACACAATTTTGCAACATGAAGAAGGAAAATGCTTCTGTTGCAATTAAAGTCAACAAAAAAAACTTAAAAGAGCACAAAAGCATACGGAAATATCAACCATATAATTCGGAAAAAACTCTACACTATTAGCAGTATGCGTCACAAACTAAAATAACTATATCATCTTCTGATCATACAAACATCAAAAGAAAATAAAATAACAAAGTACTGTGCAAATTCAACAACTTAATATAATAGGCAAATTCTCTGCATTGTCTGAGCAATGCTCTTTATTAGCAATACATACAAAGCTATAACAAAAATAGGAGTTCATATTCATAACAACATCAAACTGAAAATAAATACTTTGCAGACTCCATCACACCATGTTCTAAGCTCCTTTGGCACGCTTCCTTGAAGAAGAAAAGTAGGCGTTTAGCCGAACATGCTAGCAACAAAAAAAAAAAAAAAAAAAAAAAAAAAAAAAAAAAACAGAGAAAAATATTTTTGCATGTATGTTTTAAGAAGAGGAATTTTAAGCTTGTTCAAGCCATTTCTTAAAGAAATTAAGAAAACTATCATACTTATTGACAGGACATTGTATGCATGGTTTAATTGGTAATTCCAAGACAATTTCATATCTCAACAAAAGTGTATTTATACAATGACATGAAAATAAGTCTTGAAAATTCAGCAATCCTAGGAGAACATATTGACATCAACTTTCATTCAAACATGATAGAACTTGGAATTAGCTAGGTTCAAGAGGGAGGAATACTGGAACTTCGAAATTTAGGACCAAAGAATGAAGAACAATAAAAGAAAATGGTAGAGAAAGGAAAAGAAAACAGAACTCTTCTATAGTGGAGTGTACCTCTGTAACTTGACATCCCTGATTAACTGACTTGCTCTTGCAGAAGCTTCAACAAGTCAGAGCTACCGAGATTGTAGTCGTCAAAACTCCATCTTTTTTGCCTGTAATAATGGAAGGTGACGGAAGGTACATGCCGAATTTGACAGTAATCAGCGCCTCCATCCGGTTGCAAACAAACCACAAATTCCCTTGGCATGTCATAAATTCCAAGAGATTTGAGGTTTGTTAGGTGCTGAATATCGGAAGGCACCTGCTTCATCAGTGGACAAGGCCCAAAGTCGAACTTTTCTAAAAGAGGCAATGCTTTTCTGTCTATTTTAACCATCTTTAAACCTCCCAACTTGCATAATTTAAGTTGCTTGAGTTTCTGGAAACCGTCTTCCTCAAAATGCAATTCATCTCCTTCATATGTCTGATACATGTCAAGGAATGCCAAGTTGGGCAAACCTTTGAGGTATTGTAGTGGCTCGTCGATTAATCTCGAGAAATTTAACTGTAATCCCTGTAGATTATGAATCTCTGAAATCCACTTTGGCAACTGTTGTAGTCGACAATTCAGCTCTAGATAACGTAAAAGTGGCGGAGGAGATGAAATGTATTTTAAATCTAAAACTTCATCCTCATTGATGGAGTTCAAATATAACACCTCAAGGTGCTTCAGCTTCTCAATGGAGAGTCCAAAAGCCATGCCCATTTCTGCAGTCACTTTAGAAATGTCCAAACTTTTTAGCTTCTTTAGCATCTGCCTCTTTCATGAAACCAACTTTGTCGGAGTATGCTTCCACACTCGTTAGTGTTTGTAACTCCTCCAACCTTCCGATCCCTTCCCGAATCCTCACGCCACAATATGTCTCCAAACTGTATGGAATTTTCTCATCAAATGAATTAGCAAGGAGGTGTCGCAAATTCCTTAGTTTATTAACCTCAACCGGTAGCTCCCGCACTAAGGTATTTTGAACATCCAACGTTTGTAGATTGCGTAACTTACCAATGGACTTTGGAAGCACTTTCACCTCTGTACCTCCTAAACAAAGGTACTTCAAGTGGAACAAATTTCCTACCTCTCTTGGGAGACTACTGAGAGGAGAATCTTGAAATTCCAATACTTTCAAGAGTTTAAAATTTTCAAACAAATCCACTAAGAAAGACTTGGTACATTCCTTAACATTGAAAAGAAATACAGACCGAATCCCAGAATCTCGAACTCTTTCCAAAACATTTTCCGTAGTGTCATGAATTGAAACACGATGGCTCTTTTCTCCAAGACTGGACTTACTTTGATTTAAAGTTTGACAGGAGCACAATTCACCAGCTCTCGTTAAGATGCTATCATGCATCAAATCACGGACTTTACATGCTCTTATTACTCCAAATTCTATGTCAAACAAAACCAGGTTTCTTTGGATGAGCTCATTTAAGTATTCTTTAGCAACATCTTCTAATGTCATGTTCTTTCTTTCTTTAACAAAACCTTCAGCAATCCATAGATTATATAACACTACATCAAGAATTTGAAAGTCCTCGGGAAAGATGCCAAAATACAGGAAGCAAAGTTTGAGGTGGTAAGGTAGATCAAGATAACTTAGGGAGAGGATATTTGGAATATCAGTTTTTTCATATTCGGAATTGAGATTATTGAGCACATTTCTCCACTCAGAGGAGACTTTCTCTGTAGTCGACAACAGACCAGCTATGGTTGAAATAGCAAGGGGTAAGCCATGGCATTTTCTAATAATCGCATGCGACAATTGCTCCAACTCTTTGGGGGAACACCCCTCAAACTCACCACTTCGAAATGCCTTCTTGCAAAATAGCTTCCACGCCATTTCTGAAGACCAAGTTTGTAGCTCTTGGACAAGATCGTATCGGTTTTCATTGCAATAATCGGCAATACCAACATTACGAGTTGTGATAATTATCCTACTGCCTTTATCATTATTTGGCAAAGCAAATTTCATAAGTTCCCAAAGTTCTCTTTGCCAAACGTCATCAAAAACAATCACGTACCTCTTTGTTTGTAGATGTTTCTTCAAAAGACTAATTAGTTCTTCCCTGGTACAATCTTCATCAATTCTCTCCCCCACTCTAGATACATGCCTCATTATTATCCTCAGAAGCTTATTCATGTCATATGTCCGAGACACCGTGATCCAAGCGCGACAATCGAAGTGACCTTTCACGGATCCATCATTGTAGACTTACCTAGCAAGAGTTGTCTTGCCAATTCCACCTTGACCTACCAACGAAGTCACTGAGCGCAAGGATGGTCCTGCCGTCATCCTTCTCATAAGTTCCTCGAATGCGCCATCGATACAAATAATTTCATCTTCCTCCATGAAAAGCGATCTCAAGCGAGGATCATGTCCTTCAACATTCGTCATTCTACACCTTGCTCCGTGTTCCAAAGGTCTTAATCCGTATCCAATACCTCTATCCTTGATTTCACCCAGCACCTCTTTAATATCTTCAATCTCTGAAGCTATGTCATAACGCGGCCTCAAAGCTTTAATGCAGTGACCGACTTTGCGCAAAGAAGTAATAAATCCACCCTCACAGCGATTTTGTTCAGCATGATAAAGGTACTCATCAACCACATTCTCAATCCGCTCCGCTTGATTTCTTATTTGTTTCAACCACACTTTCGTCGCATCTCCCACTTCCCCTTTCTCCAATTTCGCCTCAGCATCTCTAAGGAAAGGCTGGATGATCTCCAGTTCATCTTTTAGCCTCTCGACTTCTTTCCGGACTCCTTTCAATGCTTTTGCCTCTTCAATCAGTAGCTCCAGCAATTTCTCAATGACAGGACTCAAGAACGTCTCTGCCATTAATTTCTTTCTTAGCTTCTGATCAACCAAGCAAACAATGGGAACTTTTCATCATACTTTGAATCCCATTACAAGTTCTGATAGCACTTGTAATTTCTTAAGGGAGAAGCCACAATGTGAAAGTGAAATAGAGCAATACCCGTATGCATTATTTTTCTCTGATTCTCTTTAAGCGGGTTCTAGCTGCCCAATACCACTTTTTCCTAACTTTTCTTTCACTAACACGCGTAAAACAAAATTTTTTTTTTTAAAAAGGCACACAGCAAAAGTAATATGGTAAAGCAATCAATAGCTGATCAGATAAGGTGAAGAAAAAATTAAAAAAAAAAAATTTGGCTAGAAAAATCAAAGACAAAGGAAAAGAGCGCTATTTGCTTTCATGATGGCAAGAATAAGATGATTTGATGCTAATAATATAATATAATATAGTGTACTAAATTGATTTTATCTCTTCCTTATAATTAGTTGGTTTACAGCTTTTCTTAAACTTTAAGGTACTAATTTATGTAAATATACTTTGACCTACATTAACTGTATTTACTCCATCAAAACATTTAATTAACAACTTTTTTTTTTCTTTTTTGGTGTCGAAGGTACACATTTGAAATTTCAATTTAAATCATGATTCATATGGATATAAGGGTGTAAAAAATGAGTCGAACCCAACAAACCCGCCAAGCCGACCCAACCCTAATTAAAAATAGTGGGATTTTTTTTTTCTTTTTGGTTGTACATATGCCAAACCCATAACGTACGGGTAAGGTACCGAGCCAGATTCATTGAACCCGAAAAAGGCCGACCCGGCCGAATGAAATTCTTACCACCCAATAAAAAAATCCCTAATTCACTCCTCCCTCTATCATTTTCACTCCAGCGCCGCAGTTTCTTCTCCGTTCTCTCTCTTGACGTGTGGCCTCTTCTCTCTCTCATTTCCCTCTCTCATTTTCTTCTCTCTCTTCAATCTTCTCACTTCCTTCCTCCGCCGTTTTTCACTTCTTCAGGTTTTCAGTTCTCACTTTCTCCACCGATTCTCAGTTGTCACTTCTCCTCTTCCACCGCCGAACGTCCAGTGGGTCTTCCTCAGCTGCCTCGGTGTCAGAAAAGGCACCTACGCCAGCCGCCTCTGCAACCTCCTCGGCATCCCCCACATCGCCACCGGCAATCTCGTCCGCGAAGAGCTCGATTTTTGTTCGACAGGCAGGCCTTTTGTTCTTATTTTCAATCTTGATTCAATTAATTTGGACTCAGATCTGTCCTTTTTCATTTTTTCGTTTTGATTTTGGATTTAGGGTTTATATCTAGTCGTGTTAACGAATCTAATCAGTCTATCGTCTACTGAAAAACTGTGTTTCTAATCAATCCGAACTGCCAACACCATCGATCGTGCCATCATTCTTGGCGAGCGGTCAGCATCAGCCCAAAGATGGAGTGGCTGTTCCTTCATACACATTTGGCTCAAGCAAATCTAGCTCGGCCCTTGTGTTCTCTTTCCCCTCAACGAGCAGTGCTGCAATCCAAAATGATTCTTCAGACATTAAGTTCAGCATTGGATCAGACAAGCTCAAGTTATCTTTCAGCTCAATAACGAAAGATGCAATCTGCTATTAACTGAGAGCAAGACAAGTCAATTTTTTTCCCTTCCTCTTCTCTTTAATTCTTAATTTTTAAGGTGAATTTGAAGTTAGAATTCATAAAGAGAATGATCCAAACATCGGGAAAGCCAGTAGTTGGAAATTTTTTTCTGAAAATATTAAATAACCAAATATTCTTAGTGTCTTCACTATAGCAGTTAATTTCCCTAATTATAGTTCTATAACAACAATTGGAGAGTTTTGTATGACGATACCAGTATTTTGGTCATTACATTCTAGTATATAATTGTCAAGTTTGTTGGGCATATTAAAGTTTTTTTTTGAGTAAAGCAGAACCTTCTGGAATCTAATAAAATCCCGACATTATCATCGGACAAACTTTGTTTTCCACCTTTATTGTTGGGCCTACAAAAGGACCCAGCGGGAGACTAGGGGAGTGACACATATGCCCGCCTAATCGTTCAAGCTCATACCAACTAATTTGTAAAATCAAGCCTACCCGAGGTAACCTAAAAGGTTACGGGTTTGTGAGCCGAGGAAGGTATTGCGGCCGAAAATTCTCTTACCCATTACTTGTGCGGCTGATAGGTCTAACCCGAGCCTACCTGCCCGAGTTACACCTCTATATGGATGTTTGAACAAGTCTATTGACCTTTACCACCAAAATAATGAAAAGGTCATTGCTATTATTTACATTACTTTTTTGGAAATCAATGACGGACAGTAATGGTCAGCAGGGCTACGTGCCCCACTCTTTTGAAAAAGTAAAATAAAATAAAATAAAGACATGACCCACATGTTTTCCAATCTTACGTATCTCCAATGTAATGTAAACTGTAAGGAGACGTTTGGTTCATAAATTAGAATAATAAAATTAGAATTATTTTCGATTTACGTGTATTTTTTGTGAGAGAAAACACTGTAGCGAATCATGAATCATGATTCGAATCGGGATACAAATTCCCCAACCAAACAACTCCTAAATTGCCCATATTAAAAGGGTTTTTTTTTTTCCGATAAACCTTCTTATTCGTAGTGTTAATTTTTTATCATTAAATATACTTAAAATCACATTGAATTATAATATATGTAGAACAAATAATTTATGATACTAATTTAACGGTTAAAAAATAAAAATTTATTGATAATTCATTTTTTCTAATCTTGCTAGAAAAACTCTCCACTTAAAAAACAATAATTATTTAATTAAATAGATGTGTGGTGGAGTGTTTCCCCAGTATTTCAGCTCCAGATGACTCGACAAAATCAGGCTTACCCTCACAAGATCTAGCAAATGCTTGCCTTCTAGATAGGTCCTGATGCAGAATGTGAAACCCGAGACTCCTATTTATCTTTGAGTATCATTAATTCTCTAATGAATAGTATATTTATGGAACAAATTCATGAATTAAGCTTGCTACATATTCAAATACTGAATCGACACTCAAAGAAATTATTTATCTTCTTCTTTTATCAACAAGGAGAGGATTCTATCTCGTAATATTAACATTTCATGCTACCTACTTCATCATGTCTTTAAAATACAAGGAATAAGATTTAGTAATCTCAAAATCCATATTGAGTAAGTCATAAGAAACAAATCCATAAATAAGAGTCTGCTTATAGCTCAGATTAAGATCATTTTATATATGATCTTTGGTAGACTCAATTAGAATTTTTATACTTAACGGAAATTATCTGAAATTCATATTGTATCTTGACTCAGTCCTACATAATCTCATTATGTAAAATACACTCATTCGATATTTCTCCATATCAACGATATAGATAAGCTCGTTCTATTCTTAATGGAAATGACATGTATGAATAATGTTTTAATTAAAAATTTTGAATTTTAATTAAATCCATTATGGACTAATTCGATTATTATCTTTAAATATTATCCTATAATATATAACATTTATATACAATATTTAAAATCACATAATGGTGAAATTTGTCAATGTTTATGAATACTATAAGAGATGCACATAGAATAATGAAAACTCAAATATTTTGTGTTAGCCTGATTTTAGTACAACATAACGAAACATCAACATTTCCCATGTAAGTCGTAAAACAACTTCATGTTATTAGCACTATGCATCATGAAGTAAAATAACTACATCAGTTCCTGATCATATAAACATCAAAAGAAAATCAACAATGTAGTGTGCAAATTCAACGATTTAATCACTGAACAGAATAGACAAATCCTCTGCCTTGGCCGCGCAAAGCTCATCATTGGCAATACAATACCAAACTAAAACAAAAACAGGAGTTCATATCCATAAGAACATCAAACTGGAAATATCTTTACAGACTCCGCACAATGACTGAAGAGAATAGATAAATCCTCTGCCTCGTTCAAGAGCAGAGTTTCTGGCTACTTTGGCACAATTCTAGGAAGAAAAGTAGCTTGAGCTGAACATCCCTAGCAGAAAAAAATTCAAAATCAATTTTCAAATTAGGGCTTACAAATATACATAGATGAAAATATCAGCAAATGTTTCTTAAGAAGAACAATCTTATAGAAAACTAAAATATTTAAGTGCGACACACCGGATAGTTGTTTAAGAAAATTATAATATTTGTAAGAGGACATTGTAGCACGGGTTAATTGCTAACTTTGACAAAATAAAAAGTTGGCCAGTCTTGGTCAGTGAATCCATTTTTTAACAAGAAATGTGTATTGATTTGATGACCAAAAAACAAAAGATCTAGTAAATTTGTTAGGAACCGTTAGTTGGGGGAGGGCATTAGTAGATTGTTAGTAGTGGTTAGAGGAAAGCTAGTAGTATAAAAGGGAGGGATTAGTTGTTAGTAAGGGAATGTCTGATTTGTAGAGTTCTGGGAATTGTTTTGGGCTTGGGAAACCAAGATAGGAGAGTTAGGCCCCGTTCATTTCGTCAATTCGAGTTTAGAATTCGAGTTTTGCTACAGTAAAAAGCTCTCAGAAACAGTCACATCTAACTTTTTTGCTACAGTAAAAAGCTCTCACACAAAATCACGTCTCAACTCGAATCAGCGAAGTGAACGGGCCCTTAGATAGTCTCTCGAACACTATCTCATTTAGGGTTTTCCTAATTGTTCTATCAGTACTTATCATCAATAGTGATTCTCTTTTATTCAAACTCCTATTGTTTAGATCATCTTTCTATCAAAACTCAACTCTGAGAGAAATATTAATATCTAGTTTTCTCATTCAAAAAGTAGAGAACTTAGCAATAACTTAGAATAATCTAGAACGCAATTGACGAGCTAAATATGAAGGACTAACCAGAAGGAAGAGGTCAATACATGAACATTGGGATTTTGTTGGAAAGAGAAAACGGAAAAAAAAAAAAAAAAAAAGAAGAAAAGAAGATGAAAGAGAAATAAAGAGAGAAAATAGGACAAAATATCCACGATTGTGATAATGGAAGGTGACGGAAGGCACATGCTGAATCTTCCAGTAATCAACGCCTCCATCTGGTTGCAAACGAAACACAAATTCCCTCTGACATGTCATGAATTGCAAAAGATTTCAGGTTTGTTAGGTGTTGAATATCGGCAGGCATCTCCTTCGTTAGTGCACAACGCCGAAAGTGAAACTCTCCAAGAAGAGGCAGTGCTCCTACGTCTACTTTAACCACCTTTAATCCTTTCAACTAGTTAAACTTAAGTTGCTTGAGTTTTTGAAAACCACCTTTCTGAAAATGCAATTCCTCTCCATCATGTGTTATGCAGAGGTATGCTATATTGGGCAACGCTTGGAGGCATTTCATTGGATCGTCGATAAACCTTGAGTCCTCCATCTGGTTGCAAACGAAACACAAATTCCCTCTGACATGTCATGAATTGCAAAAGATTTCAGGTTTGTTAGGTGTTGAATATCGGCAGGCATCTCCTTCGTTAGTGCACAACGCCGAAAGTGAAACTCTCCAAGAAGAGGCAGTGCTCCTACGTCTACTTTAACCACCTTTAATCCTTTCAACTAGTTAAACTTAAGTTGCTTGAGTTTTTGAAAACCACCTTTCTGAAAATGCAATTCCTCTCCATCATGTGTTATGCAGAGGTATGCTATATTGGGCAACGCTTGGAGGCATTTCATTGGATCGTCGATAAACCTTGAGTAACTTAATGACAATCCGTGTAAATTATGAAGCTCCGAAACCCAATTTGGCAATCGTTCTAGTCGGCAATTCAATTGGAGATAACGCAAAAAAGGAGGCGATGAAATGCATTTTAAATTTATAACTTCATCCTCGTTGGTTGAAGTCAAATTTAACCTCTCAAGGCGGTTCATTTTCTCAAGGACAACTCCCAGAGGCTCCCCCATTTCTGCAGTCACCTTTAAAATGTCCAAACGTTTTAGTTTCCTAAGCTTCTGCAGCTCTTTGACAAAACCAACTCCATCAGGGTATGCTTCCACCTTCTCTAGTGTTTGCAACTCCTCCAACATTCCGATTCCTTCACGTATCCTCACATCGCAATATGTATTCAAACTTGAATGGCCACTCTTAGCAATTGAAAAATGCGAAGGTGTCGCAAATTCCTTAGTTTTGTAATCTCGATCGGGAGCTCCGTCACTAAGGTGTTCCTAGCATCCAATGTCAGTAGAATGTGCGGATTACCAATGGATTTTTGAAGTACTTTCACCATAGCACTTGCTAAACACAAGTATTTCAGGTGAAACTCCCTACTTCTTTTGGGAGATTATCAAGAGGCACATTCTCAAAATCTAAGACTTCCAAAAGCTTAAAATTCTCAAACTACCTTGTACATTCCTTGAAGTCAAACAGAAAAACAGACCGAATGCTGGAATCCATAAACACTTTCCCAAGACATTTTCTGTAGTATCATGAATTGAGAGGCGATAACTGTTTTCTTCAAGATTGAGCTTACTTTAATTTATAGTTTGAGAAAAGCACAATTCACCTGCTCTAGTTAAGATGATATGCATCAGATCATGGACTTTACATACTCTTTCAACACCAAATTCTATTTCAAACAAAACTCTTTGGATGAGCTCATTTAAGTATTCTTCGGCTACGTCCTCCAATGTCTTGTTTCTTCTTGCTTTAACAAAACCTTGAGCAGACCGTAGTCTGTACAATGTACTTTCAGAAATCTTATGGTCTTCACCAAAGAAGCTAAAATATAAGAAGCAAGTCTTGAGGTGGTAAGATAGTTCTAGATAACATAGGGAGAGAATTTTCATAATATCAGTTCAATTTTCATAATATCAGTTCTTTCATACTTTGAACTAATATTGTTAAGCACCTTTCTCCATTCCGAATCAACTCTTTCTTTGGTTGACAAAAGACCGGCTACGGTCGAAATGACAAGTGGCAAGCTAGGCATTTGCTAACAATCTCACGAGACAATTGTAAATTCAGTTATGTTAATTTTCCTGCAACATTGGAAAATGGGCAAATGGGTAGCACTTTGTCAAATGAGGACTTATGCTCTTAATCTGATTTCCTTTGTTTGAAATGCTTGCACAATCAAATGGTATCCTCAGTTACTCTCTACTATTGATGGTTACACATATATATAAGTATACATACATATATATATATATATATATATATATATAAGTATACAACTCCATATTATTAGCACTACGCAAACAAAGTAAAATAATTACATTTGTTCCTGATCGTACAAACATCAAAGGAAAATTAACAATGTGCTGTTCCAATTCAAACAACTTAATCACTTAAGAGAACAGACAAATCCTTTGCCTTGTCTGAGCAAAGCACATTATTGGAAATACATACCAAACTGAAACAAAAATACGAGTTCACATCCATAAGAACATCAAACGGAAAATAAATAATTTGCAGACTCCATCACACATTGACTGAAGAGAATAGATAGATCCTCTGCCTCGTTCATGAGCAACGTTTCAGGCTCCTGTGGCACAATTCCAGGAAGAGAACTGGGGTTTGAACTGAACACGCTTAACAGAAAAAAAATGGAAAATTAAGTTCGTAACTGCACTTATAAATATACATCAGAGCAAAATATCAGCAAATGTTTCTTATTAGGGAAAGTGAACCACTTGTAAATAGTTAGTTAGGACTGTTAGAGCTAACTGTGGTTAACTTAGCTAATAACTACGGTTTAGTTTAAAAGTTTGTTAGAGGCAGCTGATTAGTTAATTGTAAAGACTTGTATTTAAATATGGTTTTGTACAATCATACTTAAGTGAACAACACCAGATAGTTATTTAATTTAGTCGTAAAAAAATTAAGACAAACAATCATATTTGTATAAGAATATTGTAGCACAGGTAATTGCTATATCCAATACACAATAAAAAGTTTACCAACCAATTTAATATCAAGAAGTGTAATGTTTTATGACGCAGCTGATTAGTTAATCGTATATTCAATAGCTCTCAGAGACATATTGCATTAAGTTTAATACGAAAATGAGAGAACTTAACATGAATTCAGAAGAATCTAGAATGCATTGTTATATTCTTATCTTCAATTCTGCTTTGCAATTGGCGAGCTAAACACATATAAAGGCTTTTTAAGTCGTTACTATCTAAAATGATCTGGGATAACCATAGCTTTCAATTTGCTTTCATATGGTAAAAATGAAGTATAGAAAACCAGAAGGAAGGGATCAATACTGGAAAAAGAATAGAAAATGAACGAGAAAATGAAGAAAGAAAAGAGAAAATATATATGCAATTATATTAGGAAAAACTCTTCTACAAAGGGGGGTTATAGGGGTGCACCTGCGTTACTTGACATGGTTTAACTAGCTTGCTCCTGAAGAAGTTGTAACAAGTCTGAGCTACCAAGCTTGTAGCATCCGTGATTGTGATAATGGAAGGTGATGGAAGGCACATGCTGAATCTTCCAATAATCAACGCCTCCATCTGGTTGCAAACGAACCACAAATTCCCTCGGCATGTCATGAATTGCAAGAGATTTGAGATTTGTTAGGTGTTGAATATCGGAAGGCATCTCCTTCATCCTTGTGCAATTCCCAAAGTGAAACTCTTCAAGAAGAGGCAGTGCTTCTCTCTTCTATTTTAACCACCTTTAATCCTTCAAACTTTAATAATTTAACTTGCTTGAGTTTTTCAAAATCACCTTTCTGAAAATGCAATTCCTCGCCTTCGTATGTACGGTACATGTGGAGGTATGATAAATTGGGTAAACCTTTGAGGCATTTAAGTGGCTCATCAATCAACCTTGAGTTTCTTAATGACAATCCCTGTAGATTATGAAGCTCTGAAATCCAATTTGGCAACTGATCTAGTCGACAATTCAATTGCAGATAACGTAAAAAAGGAGGAGATGAAATGCATTTTAAATTTATTACTTCTTCCATGTTGATTGAATGCAAAATTAACCTCTCAAGGTGGTTCATTTTCTCAAGGAACACTCCCAAAGCCTTCCCCATTTCTGCAGTCACTTCCGAAAGTTCCAAATGCTTTAGTGTCCTCAGCTTCTGTATCTCTTTCAAACAAAATACTCCGTCAGGGTATGCTTCCACTTTCTCTAATGTTTGTAACTCCTGCAACCTTCCAATTCCTTCAGGCATTCTCACACCACAATGTGAATTCGAACTTGATTGACGCTTCTTAGCAAATGAATAAATAAGCAGGTGACGCAAATTCCTCAGTTTAGTAACCTCGATTGCCAGCTCCGTCACTAAGGTGTTCCTAGCATCCAATGTCAGTAGATTGTGCAGATTACCAATGGATTTTGGAAGTACTTTCACCATAGTACTTGCTAAACATAAGTATTTCAGGTGAAACAGCTTCCCTACCTCTTTTGGGAGATTATCAAGAGGTGCATTCTCAAAATCTAAAACTTCTAAAAGCTTAAAATTTTCGAATCTCGTACATTCATTGACGTCAAAAAGAAAAACCGACCGAATCCTGAAATCTATGACTCTTTCCAAAACATTTTCTGTAGTATCCTGAATTGATAGGCGATAAGCAGTCTTTTCACCAAGACTGAACTCACTTTTACTTATGGTTTGACAAAAGCCTAATTCCCCTGCTCTTGTTGAGATGATATCATGCATCAAATCATGGACTTTACAATTTCTTTCCACACCAAATTCCAATTCAAACAAAACCAAGTTTCTCTGGATGAGCTCATTTAAGTATTCTTCGGCAACTTCTTCCAATGTTTTGTTTCTTCTTGCTTTAACAAAACCTTCAGCAGACCATAGTTTATATAATGTGCTTCCACAAATTTCAAAGTCTTCAGGATACATGCCAAAATATAAGAAGCAAGTCTTGAGGTGGTAAGGTAGATCTAGATAACTTAGGGAAAGAATTTTTGTAATATCAGTTCTTTCATACTCAGAACTAATGTTGTTGAGCACCTTTCTCCATTCAAAATCGACTCGTTCTTTGGTTGACAAAAGACCAGCAATGGTCGAAATAACAAGTGGCAAGCCTAGACATTTGCTAACAATCTCACGAGACAATTGCTCTAACTCTTGGGGACAACACCCTGCATACTCGTCACTTCGAAATGCCTTCTTGCAAAATAATTGCAAAGCGATTTCCGAGGACCAAGTCTATACCTCATGGACAAGATCACAAGGGTTTTCACGACAAATGCTAGCCACGGTGAAATTACGTGTCGTGATAATTATCCTACTGCCTTTATCTTTATTTGCCAAAGCATGTTTCATATCTTTCCAAAAATCTTTATGCCAAACATTATCAAAAACAATCATGTACCTCTTTGTTTGTAGATGCTGCCTCAAAAGACTAAATAACTCATCCATAGGACAATCTTCCTCAATTCTCTCCCCTGCTCCACCTACTTGCCTTATTGTGATCCTCAGAAGCTTCTTCATGTCGTATGACTGCGACACTGATCCATGCACGGCAATCAAAGTGAGCTTTCACCACTTCATCATTGTAGACTTTCCTAGCGAGAGTTGTCTTGCCAATTCCACCTTGACCTACCAACGAAATCACTGAGCGCATGGATGGTCCTTCAGTCAACCCTTTTATAAGTTCCTTCAATGGGCCATCAATACCAACAATTTCATCTTCCTCCATGAAAAGGGATCCGAGGCGAGGGTCGCGTGATTCAACATTACTTGTGCTGCTACTTGATCCTTGTTCCAGAGGTCTTAATCCATAGCCAACACCTCTGTCCTTGATTTCACGCAATGACTCTTGTATTTCTTTTATCTCGGAAGCTATGTCATAGCATGGTTTCAAGGTTTTGATGTAGTGACCAGCTTTGCGCAAAGAACCGATAAATCCACCATGATGGCGATGTTGTTCAACATGATAAAAGTACTCATCAGCTACATCTTTAATCCGATCTGCTTGCTCTCTTATTTGCTTCAGCCAAACTTTTGCAGGATCATTCACTTCTCCTTTCTCTGACTTCGCCTCCGCATCTCGAAGGAAAGGTTGGATGATCTCCAGTTCATTTTTCAGACTTTTGACTCCTTTGTGGACTCCTTTTACCAAATTTATTTCTTCAGCTAGTAGATCAACCAACTTTTCAATGACGGGACTCAAGAATGTCTCTGCCATTTCTGTCTCAGCTTCTGATCAATCAGGCGAGCAATGGAAACCTAATTACATCCCATCACAATTTTCTAAATATGCATAACTAACAAAGCATGAATTAGAAGAGAAACAGAAAAGGTTATCTCAAATAGCCTATAATTTGCTATATTATTTACTCTAATCTTATGTTTCGTGTTTAAATTTATCTACCAAATGAGTAGTGGTACCTGGAAAAGCGGCCTTGCATAATGGAACAGAGCATTTTCCTTCTTTTCCTCTCCTCAATGGGCTTCTTCTACATTATTCAACAGGACTATGCCTTCATCTCATTTGGCAAGTCAAGTAGTTGACTTTTGCAAGTTCTTTGGTAAAATCACATTGCATATTCCTAGAAGCTGCTTGTTCTGTCGTTTACATGGGGGGAAACAGAAATTAAAAAAATTATATATATATATAAAGATATCATTGTAAATTGAAACTGCTTTGAGTTCTTGGACCACTTTTCTTTCTTTAAAATGGTGATCTCTGGTGTTATTCAAGTCATTCTAAAAAGCCAATTAATTTCTTTTTCCACTTTAAAAATATCATATAGTTTTTTATCCAATAATAACAACACAATATAATTATTTTCTTCCGTAATGATATAGTTAATTGCTAAAATAATAGCAACTTGTTAGATTAAAAGCTTGAGAGAGCAGTTTAAAACGGGAAATGCGTACCTATCATAGGGTACTTTTCATTTAGCAAAAATAATAAAATAAAATAAAATAAAATAACCATGGGTTACTTTTCGTTTTTCCTTTTTGTTTCTGTGAGGGACATTTCTTGTTTACCCAATACAATTTTATTCAGCAAATATATATATATATATATATATATATATATCACAAATCTGAAATGGAATTTACTAGTCGCCACTTTTCAAGCAACTCAACTTAATTCGATTTTGACCCCATGAGAGGAAAATCCATATTTGAGAATTAAAAAATAAAACAAATATGTGATTAAAAAAAAAAAAACAATAACTAACTCGTGGATATGAGATTTCTAACCTCTCCAAGCCGCGACCAGCTAGAAAACACCGGTGCCGGAGAAGAAGCGCGTCAAGAGGGCCCACTAGGGACTAGATCAAGTAAAGAAACCCAGCTTACGAGGGCCCACTATAAAAGAGCAGAAAAGTGGAGGCGATCTCTTATTGCCATCTGCTTCTAAAAAGATTGGAATGAGATCTTACCAGACTTCACTCGAAAAGAGATTCCCAACCAAAAAAGAAGAAAAATTGCTCACTTTCTAAGAAGAGCTCAGCTATGACTAGAGAAGACTCAAGTGACAACTAAAAGACGTTTGTAAACTATAACTAACGAGAAGCGCTTCTTACATTTGACACCGTTAACTTGCGTTTGTTTTGTAGATTTGTAAATCGTAATTTATTATAGTATTATTTTTTATAAAAAACACACATAAATTAAAAATAATTTTAAATTATAATTCTGAATCTAAATATTTATCATAGTTTAGTTTTTTTTTCTCCGTTTCTTTTTCTAATTTTGTGTCAGGAATAATTTTTGATCTCGCATTATGTAGAACTTGTTCAGTTGCATTTTTAAGTTATGGTGACTTAAGTATAGATCTTGAGTTAAATTTGAGTTGAAGTTGTAATTTAAATTTTTGTTTAGATGTACACATTTGAGTTATAGTTTGGATTGAGAATCTATTTGAGTTTGTGTTTGGGTGGATCAAAACATGAATTTGTATTTAAATAGTATTTTAATAAAAACTCAATAGTGATGAAAAATTTTAATAGAATATATGGATGATGTTTTATTTGTCTTTTCGTTGTGAACGCATAAAAAAATCATCTCAATTGAAATTAAAACTTAAATTTTACAAAAGAACGTGAACTTGAATAAAGTTGTAATTTGATTTTAAACTTTTTTTTGAGTTTTGATCCAAAAGAATAAGCCCGTAATTTCTTTAAAAATTAAGTCTACTAATTAGAACAAGAGAAAAAAAAATTGAAAAATCATATAAAAAATTAAAATTATATAAGAGTTTTTGACAAAAAAAAAAATTTAAGGCCTCGTTCATTTCACCGATTCGAGTTTTCAGTTTTAGGTTTCTACAGTAAAAAGCTCTCAAAAAATGTCACATCTAATTTTTTTTCTACTACAGTGAAAAGTTCTCAGAAAATATCACATTTTAACTCGAATTGAAAATTCAAATCCGCGAAGTTAACGAAGTCTAAATATAGACATTTGAAAAAAAAATTGTTACACCACGGTCGAGGAATCGACCATTCCTACCAACGACAAGCACCGAGGCCTTCTTGGCAAGAATCGGTCGCTGGCGTCGAGAGTATTACAGTAGCTAGTGTGCCTTTTGGACGTCGAGAGCCCATGTAGGACAGTTGCCGTCGAGCACCTCGCTTGGCTTGTGGTGATCACGACGTCGAGGCAGTAGTCCAGTCAAAATCAACGATAGTCCTGTCAACTCAGGGAAGAATACACTGTGCCAACTGCTACTGTCGGAGTCAGGAAATTAGGTAGCTGATAAGAGAGGTTAGCTTGATTTCTTGAAATTGCAATCATGAAAATACAACTGTCAAATCCCAAAATTTAGAGATAGAGGATGATTTCCTCGGGGAATGCAGGGGAGATCTCTCACATGTAAAGGCCTCTAAATAAAGCAACAAGGACCCATTAAGTTTTTTACGCATTATTTCATTACTCAAAAGAGGTTGTAATCCCTGAAAGATTAGTGCATCCACAAGTGGACTAGGCCAAGAAATATTACTGAACCACTATAAACTTCTGTCTCCTTTACATTATTTTACAGCTTTAATCCTTAATTAATCCGTTCACTGTGAGTGTTATTGGAGAAATAATCATAAGTTGTCAAAAAATCACTGTCAACAATTGGCGCTAGAAGGAGGGCCTAAACCCAAAAATCGAATCCAGTAAACAACAGCAACCATGCCTCCAAGAAACACTCGCAGCACGACGGCTAATCAGATAATCCCAGAAGGCCAGAATCCCACCATCGGAGGAAGGACTCTGATGAACCCACCCTTACCGGCCGCTGGAAACCCCTCATACCGCATTGACCAGCTCCAAAGGCAGGTCGAAACACTTGCTGCAGCCGTGGAGAGGATGGCTACAGCCCTCGCTGGGCGGAATCAAAGGCAAAACTTGATGCCGCCGTTGGAGGACGCGCCGATGAACCTGGTGAACGTCGTCGTTGGAAACTAAGTGATTGGTGACCAATGTGGTGACGCCGAGGGGGTCGGTGATAGTGGGGCTAACAACCCCCGCCCAGCCAAGTCGAACAGATCCGTAGGGAGCAGACAACAGGTAGCCAGGAGGAGAGCCCAGGAAAGGGCTGCAGCCCAAACTGTGAATAACAGGGAAGTGCCTCCTCAACCGCAGTAGGACGTGAACAGGAGGAACGCTGTCCCAGTGGAATCCTCATCTGTGCGTGGGGGAGACCTTAGGGGAAAGCTGAACGCTCGACGTGAACGAGACGTGCAGCGGACCAAGGAGGAAGAGCTCGCAGCCGAGAACAAGGCTCTGGCCGAGAAGATGGCAAGATTAGAAAAGCAGAAAGGGAGTCGGCTAAACAACTTTGAGCAGGTCGTGGAAAAAGTGGCTGAGGCCGTAAACATCGATGCCAAGATGTACACGTCTCACGACCACCCATTCACAGAAAACATCATTCGGGTGCCATTGCCCGATAAGTATAAACCGCCCCCTATTCCGCTATATGATGGGAGGAGTGATCCAGACGATCACTTGGAGGTCTACACAGGGCATATGGTCCTACACGGGTACCCCGAGGAGGTTATGTGCTAGGCGTTCAGGAATCATCTTTCTGACTCCGCCAGGAGATGGTTTAGGTCCTTAAAACCGAACTCTATTACCAGCTGGGATGATTTGAAGAATGCCTTCCTGACTCAGTTCATAGGTGTTAAAAAATACATCCCGCCCAAGCAAAACCTTTCGAGGGTGTACCAGGGGCCTAATGAGTCCCTACAAGATTGGATAGCCCAATTTGGGAAACAGGTGGCCGCCACCGAGGGGATCTCCGACGAGGTGGCTTTGATGGGAGCCCTATCGAGCATGAAGAATGACATCCCGTACAGGACAGACCTAGACCGGAGGCCGCCCCAGACCTACCAAGAATTCCTGGCGAGGGCACAAGGATTTATCAATGCTGAGGAGGCTAAAAAGGCCTTAAAAAGCAAGGTGGTGGCCCCCACCAAGGAAGAAGTAGAGTAGGGAGCAACCAAAATAATGGCAAGAAGCGCTAAGGTAATCCTCAGGTGTAAGCGGAGCAGAGGTATAATCCGGCCCTAAACAACAAGGGTGGCAACACCCCGACAGGGCAGGGGGATACCAAGCGACCCAAGCCACAAAAATGCAACGCCTATACCCCTTTAACCATGGGGATCGAGGACGTATATCACGAGATCAGTCACCTTTAGGTACTGCGTTGACCACCACCGCTGAAGTCCGACCCAGCGCGGAGAAACTAAAGCAAGTATTGCAGGTTTCACGGCGAGAGTGGGCACACGACAGCCGAATGTTATGACCTGAGGGATGAGGCCGAGAGGTTGATCCGATAAGGCCGAGATAACGTTCTCGGAGGTAAATGCGAACGGGGTGCACTTCCCCTAAAATAACGCTCTAGTCGTGGAGGCCATGATCGGTAACCATATGGTTTGCCGCATCCTGGTCGAGAACGGTAGCTCGGTGGACATCCTATACGCCGACTACCTCGACAAGATGGGGATCCCCCAAGCGAGACTACAAAACAGTTCACAGCCTCTATACGACTTTACCGGGGATAGTGTCATCCCAGAGAAGGCAATAGAAATACATGTGACCATTGGTGACCGACCACACACCTCGACCGTAATATCAAAATTCTTGGTGGTGAAGGGAGGTGACAAATATAACGCGGTCATAGGGCGCCTAACGCTGAGGGCATTAAAGGCGATTACGTCGATCTACCACCAAATTCCTGACCCCCAACGGGATTCGAAAAGCCCGAGAAATTCAGTATGAGTCAAGGCTCACATACTCAGAGACGGTCCATCACTATGCCAAGCTAATGCAGGCAATGAGAGAGATGAGGATGGTGGAGACCGGGGCAGAAGAGTTTGACTTATATCCAAGGCTCCTGGGCGAAGATATAGGAACGGGACCGGTCGAAGAATTGATCGAGGTCCCCATCGATGAAAAAGAGCAAACCAAAAAGCTGAGGGTAGGCTCATAACTTAAAAGGCAGAGTCAAGAGGTACTGATAGAGTTCCTCAGGGGCAACCTCAACGTGTTTTTCTGGACTCACGAAGACATTGAAGGGATAAGCCCTGACATAACGTGCCCCATGCTAAACATCGACGATAAATGTCCCCCCAAGAGGCAAAAGCATCGACCAATGAATGCAGAGAGGTACGAGGCCCTACGGGAAAAGGTCGACAAGCTGATAAGGAATGACTTCATCCGGGAAGCCCTATATCCCGAATGGGATTCGAACCCCGTGTTGGTGCTAAAGCCCAACGGAATGTTGCGAGCATGTGTCGACTTCAGCGACCTAAACAAACCTTGTCCCAAGAACAACTTCCCACTGTCAAGGATAGATCAGCTGGTCGACGCCACAGCAGGACACGAACTCTTGAGCTTCATGGACACATACTCTGGCTACAACCAGATACCGATGTTCCACCGCGACGAAGAACACACAACGTTTGTCACCGATAGGGGCCTTTATTGCTACAAAGTCATGCCATTTGGCCTCAAAAATGTTGGAGCAACTTATCAACGCCTTGTCAATAGGATGTTCGCGGAACAGTTGGGAAAGTCAATGGAGGTGTATGTGGATGATATGCTGGTAAAGAGCAAGAAGTTTGAGGACTATGTGGAGGACCTGAAGAGAATGTTCGACGTCCTCCGGTCGTACAGAATGAAGCTAAATCCCCTCAAGTGTGCGTTCAACATCGGTTCGGGAAAATTCTTAGGCTTCATGGTGAGTAGTCGAGGAATCGAGGCAAACCCGGAAAAGATATGGGCACTCCTCGACATGAGGTCTCCAAGGAAACAGAGGGAGGTCCAGAAGTTAACGGGCTGTGTAGCCACACTTAACAGATTCATCTCCAAGTCTGCAGATAAGTGCATACCGTTTTTTGATACCCAGAGAGGGAGCAAGCCATTTCAATGGATAGAGGAGTGTGAACATGCGTTCCAACAATTAAAGAAACACCTTGGAAAACCACCCCTACTATCCAAGCCAGCGACTGACGA